AGTTCACACCAATAGCAGAAGATCGTTTAGGAAGCCTATCTCCCCAAGCAGAGCACTTATATCACAAGTCACATCCTCTTCGCGATGCAAACACAATAAGCAATCAACGCTCTATTCATTTCAGCCTCACCCACAAACAAGTTAGCGTGAGCTTTTCTGATCTCAATTTCTCGCGTTCCATGATATGAAATCAAATTAATACCCACAAAATTGTTCTATTTGATTTTGCCCACAAAGTGTTTGACGTGTGTCCTGAATCATGTTTTGCCACAAACTTTGCTTTAATTTTATTCATTACAAGTCAGATGTCAATTGCGCACTAACTGCTTTTCGTCTTCCACTATCCACTGATGGTTATATATGTTAATATTAATTTAATCAAATGAAATGCAGATTGTCTAACAACTTGAGTGTATTTCTTGATTGAGTGTAGAAATAATGGTGGTAAATTTGTTGCTTATGTTGCCTTCATAAAAAAACCTAGAAGTTTAGTTGCTTCTTGTCAAACACCTCCTATGGCCAAACATTTAGAATGGCCTTGGCATCATTGAGTCTCACTGTTCAGTTGCTATTGGAATTTACATCAATTTTTAATTATCACCAATTGTAGTAACATCATACCAATATTGAATGATAACTTGTCAGATGAGGAAGGAATTGTTGTCATCTTTTAAGAGTAATGTGTTTTGGCTAAAGTTTGAAACTATTGTTTCTCTATACAAAAAAAACGCTATTATTTTGTATTCATGCAATTAATATGCAATTTTTCTATATTCATGTAAATGACTATAAATATGTAACACTAATGTATCGAAAATAAAATTTGCCAAAAAATTCAAAAGAATGAAAGTAGTTCTGGAACATGCATTCACTACCAGCATATTCTTCCACAAGTTAACGAAGACACAAGAAAAGGAATAGAGAGGAATTATGCCTTCCAAATGATTGGCATTTAAGTTGTCACATACTCACATTTCATTACATGTTTACTTTACGTAGATATAAAAATTAAGGGTCTTCGTAACTAATGTTTTAGGGGACTTTAAAGCAGAAATAAGAAAAAGAAAGGTAATTTTTTATTTTAAAATTTATCATAAGAAATAATAATTAATACATTAAATTTATTAAGTGAGATTGCATTAAAAATTAAAAGAAAATATTTAATAACAATTTCAAATGAAAATATTCTATTTTGAATTTTTTAAGGCAAGAACAATTGTTAGCATTCTCTTAAAATGAAATGCATGGAATTTCAGAAGAAATATCTCTGCATTGCCCAATGACAGTAAGAATGCAGTAGCTGTGAGAGTAAAGGCAGAAGATGGACCACTTTGTTTGTTCCAACAAGGTCAAGAGGATGTGCTGGGAATATCCTTTGGCCTATACGCATGTCTATGTTTTATGTACGTTATATATATACACATGGACACTCATAAATTGTTCATCAAGAAAGCTCATAACTCATAAGAAGATATGTGCAGGTGCATCACTGGGCAACGACTTCTTTGGCAGTTGATCATTGCATTCAACTGATGAAGCAGAAAAGCTTAGCTAAGTTCACTGCCAAAGAAGATTTGCCCGGCAATTCACCCTGCCCAGTGCCCACATGAATCGCTTTCATATATTAAGAAAGGTACATGTTTATATATACGTGCTTATTGCATTGTTCATAAGGCACACACTATGTGAAGCTAGCATGTGTTCTTTTGCAACATAATGCTGTCACTGATAGAGTTATAGTATTTGCACGGATGCGTATAAAAAAAGTCAAATACAAAACTTGTTAATAATGGTTCAATTAATGCGTCCACACCCAAACATGGCAAAACTCCACCACTTTCTTATTAAGAAAATATTATTATGTCCCCACTCGAAAATGAGTAGCAAGTGACATTGTCATGTCCTCATAAATAATCTTCGCTTTTAATTTGCTTTTTTCTTTTATGAAAGCTTTTAATTTGTTTTCATAACAAAGCTAGTCGTGGACTCGTGGCACGCGGAAAAACCTTTGTCTTCTCTTCTTTAATACGTAGTAGTTATTGTGAGTGTTCATACTCGTTGTAAATAAACGATAAATTTTGCAACATACTAATAAAAATTGTTTGAAGGGAAATCAATTTATATTTTAATGGTAATAACAGAAATCAAAATATAAAAAATACAGCATTTGAAAATTTTCTGCGGCGAAACATTTTATAATTTTGTTTAATTAATTGATGGCTGTTTTTAACAATGATTAGAGTGTAAATGGGTCTGCGTATACTGACTACTGATGAATTCAATTTAAATCAAATCAAACAGGTTAATTTAAATTATTGGCTTGATTTCATTAAAATAATAAAGTACCTAATACAGTTGGTACGTTCAAGTATTTGACTTTAAACAATAAATCTGAATATCCAATTAATCAACTCAATTATAGATTATACAATTTAGTTTTATTGTTGGCTGTTATTCAATATTTTAGTCTGTTACTGATCTGCATGGGATTACATAAATTCCTCCTAATTTATTGTACAATTTGTTTATTCTTTTTGTTGATTTCTTCTAATATTTTTTTACCTATTTTTAAAAATTAACAAATCCAATCATCCAACCAAACTAATCCAACCATGGTTAAATTAAATAATTATAGTAATATGATATCTTTCAAAAACACACTTATTAAATAGGATAAACTACATTCACATTGTTTAAAATTCGATAAAATTTTACACAGTGTTTTTTTTCCTTTTGATTTTACACAATTTTTCTTTAATTTATGTAATAATATAATACTAGGTACTCTTCTTAATTAAAAAAATCACTTTTCATTTTTATAAAATTATATGAATTAAGAGAAGTGAAACTAATGTAAAAAGAAAAAGAAAAATATCAAAGAAAGTTTTTTATTGAACTTTAAGAAGTGTGAAAGTGATTTATTTTATTAATAAATTATATATAAGTTGTAGTATAATAATAAGCAGTTTCATAATTTTTTAAATAAATTATAATATTTGGTCTATTATCGGAATGTAAATAACACCACAGCAGCAACTTCTTTGAACGATTAATAAGCATGGGTTTCGTACTGAGTAAAAATTGCACCTACTTATTAGTCAGTTTAAACAGTGAGACAATTATTAGCACGAGGTGCACGTGCACAATTAGCTTTCTTTATTAATTTCCTGTTCGAGAAAACAACCACTGTTTATTGACAGAATATTCTTCATAAGATGATAAGAAGTCATTTTACTCTATTCTATTTCGTTTTGTTTCAATATTTATGATTTATAATGTATCAAATATTCTAAATTTTTTGCACAAATATATCTTTATTCTATGGAATGTCAATAGTTATTGATATGTTTATATAATATATAATCAAATTATCAAATTAGTGTTCTTTCGTATGAAACTTTTCAAAAGAAATATTCTGCTCCCTAATTTATATTTACTAAAGGACCCTTCTGAACTTTCTTTTGGAATATAACAAAACGCTGTGTATTGAATTTGACTATCAATGCGTGTGAGAATGAATATATTTTATTTGTATATCATCATGCACACCTGACCTAACTCAAGTTCATTTTTTAATTAAGAGAAATGTTCATTTTACACTCACTTTATGTGAAATAGGGAGAGCAATAGTGAAGGAACAAATTTAAAAATAATTATTAACTAATGCAATAAAATAAGAAAAAAATAGTTGATTAATTAATACATAAAATCAGTGGTATCTAGAGGATGGTACAAGACACCAGAATTCCCACCATTACGTATTGAATTCTTCTTATAAAGCAATACAGGCGTGTAACAAATGTCTGTGTGTGATTTTAAATTATTCCCAGATTTTCTCCCTGTTCTGATTCACACATTGATTTACCAATAGTCAACACCCTTGTTTTAAATTATAAAAACTCAAAAACTAAAACTTTTTTCTAAATCAATTGTCTTGCTCACACGTGATCTGAGTAAAAGCTATAAAAATAAGCACTGGATTCACATGAATTTATTTAATGTTAAGTTTTTTTTCTTTTAAACTATTAATCTCGCGTAGCTTATGTATCTGAAAACAAAATTCTCGTGGAGATTAATTTAACACAAATTATTAACTACTTCGAAGTGAATCCCAAACTGGTCCTTCTCAACCTATTAGTTTTACGAAATGTTAATTGCACCAAGAGAGAAAAAAGAGAATTTAACAGGTAAAAAGTACCAACTATATATACATTCTCTTTCAATGTACTATATAATATACTATTTTATAATGAATATAATTTTTGAAAAAATAAAATTTTTTAAAAGTAATTAAGAAAAACATGTTAAAAGGAATATTACTAACATTTTTTTTAACATGTCAGCATATTCGGAGGTAAATGTGTGTATATATATTGTGTGTATATATATTGTGTTTTTGAGAGAGAGAGAGTGAGATCTTGGATTCAAGAGATTTATATTAGAAAATCTCAACTCTCCAGACAAGAAAAATGGTGTAATGAAAACTAGAGATTAGAAAGGGAATGCCAACAAAAGTGAAACAGGCAATTCAACTTTGTGTAATTGGGAAGCAACTAACAATTATTGGTGTAGTTAGAGCCATGAATTTTACATCAAAACGGTCTATTGAAATGATGAAATAAGAAGAGAAATGTGAGGATGTATGAGATAAGATAAACATTAGTGGTTGAGAAATTGATGTGAACAATTCCCAAACCTTTATCTAGTGATCACTAGTAGCATCCATAATACACTATTTCACCTCAATCAAACCCTTCCTTGCATCTCCATAAAGCCGCCTCATTCCAAACATTTCCTTTCCCACGAAAAACAATACTTTTCACTCGGCAAAATAATAACATTTGAAAAAGAAATGTCCCAAATTCAAAACGTGTAAATTATTGGTTTGACTCATGTAATTTGAGTGTAACATGAAGGGCAATATAGTCATAAGGTATTGTATATATATTCTAGATATCTTCATCTTCTAGGTAATTTTCTTCCCCTAGCACACATTTCGTAAGGTTGGTGCTGATTTTCCTCCGAAGCCGCCATGGAATCTGAGGCTGTATTGAAGCTCTTTGATTCGTGTTGGTTTGAGATTAATATTTTGAAGAAGAATTCAAGCGCTGACACATCAATTATTGCAAGTTGTGTTGAAAATCTAGATTATGATTTAAAAAAAGAATTATCAGAACCAAAGCTACCCCGGATCCAAACCATTCACAACAGATCCATGAGTGATCAATCCATGACAACCACAAGCTTCAACCATGATTCTCTTTCACCAGACTCTGTCCTTCTCCATCCAAAGCTCCAAACCATTCTCTCAGGAAAAGAAGTCACAGAATCAGAATCTCAATACCCAACACAGATTACGCACCATGATGAGGTGTCGTTACCTAAGAACAAGAAGAAAATCTCAAGCAATGGAATGAGGACGAAAAGGGAAAGCAAGAGCTTGTCAGACCTTGAATTTGAGGAGCTAAAAGGGTTCATGGATCTGGGTTTTGTTTTCTCAGAGGAAGATAAAAACTCAAGCTTGGCTTCAATTATTCCTGGGTTGCAAAGGCTAGGGAAGAAGGAAGAAGAAGAAGATAACTGTGATGAGTCAGTGGTTCCAAGACCTTACCTGTCTGAAGCATGGGAGGTTCAGGAACATCATAGAAGGAAAAAACTAAACTCCTTGATGAATTGGAAAATCCCTACAATCAACAATGAAACTGATATGAAAGATAGTCTTAGATTGTGGGCTCATACCGTTGCTTCCACTGTCAGATGATGCAGTTCATAATCCAACTCTTTTCTTTTTTCTTTTTCTTTTTTCTGTTTCACATATACATTTTCCTTGTTTTTCTTCATTTTTCTATGTATTTATTTCCTTTTAAATTTTTTTTTCTGGAATTCCAGATTTTAACATGCAATTGTAAACAAAAAGGAAAGAAATTTCATTCAACATTTCAGATTTGTTGGCTCATGTGTATGTTCTTGATAAATTGTGTTCCAGTACGCATGGTGGTCTAACGTTTCTTCTTCTAATGTTAGGTTAATTATAGATAAACTTAAGTTTTTATCTTGTTTAGCTAGCTGAAAAGATTATTATTCAATTGAATGAATGGATAGATATCAGACTCCAAAAATCAAGTTTTACAGAACTAGAATGAATGGTTCTCTTCCTTTGTATTGATTTGTAAATTCAGTGCCTATCACAGTTGTTGTGCAGTCAATAGAGTGACGATTCTTTACTCTCTCAGTCATCCAAATATATCGCAAAATCTGTTGTGCTATCTAAAACAAACTTGGACCAAAACAAAATAATAACTACAAGTTATTTAAAAAATTCTGATATATATATATATATATATATATAATGTTGTTTTTATCAATGTATTTATTATTTTAATGGTTTATATCAATTTTATAAAAATAAAAAATAAGAAAAATATGATCAAACAGACCTTATTTATATATATGTTTTTTAAAAGGGTATACATGTTAATTTTAATATATATCAATAAAATATTAAAAAAATAAATTACTACTACTTATATGTCTGTAAGAATCAAAGTTACTTTAAGAGTTCAATTACCGAAATATTTCACTTAATATTTTTTTTATAAATGCTAAATTTTATTATTTAGTTAAAACTTTATATAAATAAACTGTGTATACAAAACTTCAAAAACCAATTATGCTTTATCAAATATTTTATTTTGATATATAATTAAAAATAATAATATTAATTATAAAAATATTTATGTTCACGTGTTAGTTCTATTTAAATTTGGTGTGCATAATAAATATATTAATATCACATCATTTAATAATTAAATTTATATTACATAAAAATTATTAAAATCTCATAATTTAATGTATTAATAATATTAAATATTATAATTTTTATAAAAAATATTATTTATTATTTGCTAATTATATATCATTAGACATACATTAAAATAGATTTAACTCGTCTGAATAAAAGTAAGATAATAAAAGCATATCCACATCAATTATAATTAAGTATTATATAAAATAATTAATTTAAAATAAAAAATAAAAAATTGTCACGTGGCTATTGACCTTGACGAGAGATGCACGTGGGAAAATGGTGAGCAAGTATTCGGATGCTTTATAATATTATGGTCTCTTTCTTTTGATTCCTCTATAATAATCCGTCCTCTGTTCTACTTTTTCATATTATGATTAAAAAAATTGGCATGTCTCGTTTATTTTCTAATCACACGTCTTCCTTTTACTTTTAAACTAGTCATAGAGAACACTCACGTGTACTTGCACCTGAACATTCTGTCTCGATATTTAGTGTCAAACAAACAACCAGAAACAAAATTTTCAGGTTTTAATTTTGATTCAAGAGAATAACTTAACTCCCTCGTACCTCTGACGTGAAATTCTTTATCAACTAGTTAGTTAACAATTAACAATTATGCTTTTAGCAACATAAATATTGTTAGTTAAATAATAAGCATAAAAATATAATTCATAAACTATCAAGAGAAATGATAAGCACATTAATACGAGCATTATACACTTTTTTTTTGTCAAGCTACGGACTATTATTGGTCAAAAGCTGACCAAAGACTAACATGACTACTTCGAAGTGTTAAGCTACGGAAAATTCTGAAAAATCTGGGGAGTTTTTATCATGGATAAATATCATTATACATCCCAATTTTTAAGTGCGAATGGGGAGAAAAAAGAAATCAAAGATATGATTGAAAGTAAGATAAAAGAAAAAGACATGAAGGTAAAAAGCAAAATGAATGTATGAAATCAGTACTTTTATTATAGTCAAGGAAGATAACTATTTCTTGTATGTTGAGAATCTGCACCTGGGCATCGTAACATGTGTTCCCTTCATTTTGCTCATTCTCTATTTTCACGAGTCTTGAGTACAAAAAATATGTGTGCATCTAGAAAGGAAAGGGGGGAATCAATCTATATCTCCTCAGACATGGGGTAGAACATGAGAACAATTCTTTTTTTTTTCTTTTGAAAAACCATGTACTCACCTTTGTTAGCTACCTACTTAAGTTAAATTTCTACAGGAGTTCCTTGAGAATATCAGCATTAGGGTTCTTGAAATTAATTTCCTTCAAAGATGTTTTTGAAATCAAAAGATAAAAAAAGTTGAAATCAGAAAAAAAAATTAACAATAATAAAACCAGCCAACTGGAGCAAACTGCGAGTGAAAGGGACCTAAATATGCAAATCACAACAACCCATCTGATTATGCAGACCGGGACGTGCCAAACCCAGCTAGAAATAACTAAGCAATAGATCATAAGACAATACTTTGCCAACACAAATGCACAGAAGCAGTCAAGAGGCAGCTTTGAGGTGTGGCTGCAACTAGAACAATAGATGGTGATATTTGAGATCAATAGCATCCATGCCATATATGAGCGTGGACCCAAAAGCACTTGGTAGGGTGCTCGACAATGCTAACACATCAAACCCATTAAGGTTAGGATGTTTACATATAATGATTCAGCACTGTGAGGAAATCCTAAACATGAACTTCATAAATGTTACAACTGCAGCTTCTCTTTTAAATTTCCAAGGGGACCATAGCTTTTCTCTTTTACTTCCTCTTCGCTACAATTGCAATTGCCAGTGTTAAAGTTTTGGCCACATTTCAAGCACATGCCTTTACACCCAGGATCACATACTGAATTCATGGTAATCTCAAGATGCACCCTGTCTCTTATGTTCTTTGAAATATCAATTTGTTTCTCTTCAGGAGGAAAATATAGTTGATCATCCAAATCAATAAGTGCATCATCATCGTCATCATCCTCACCACTGTTTCTAGAGGTTGTAAGTTTGTCTTCCCCAAAAATAACACCCATATCAATAGTCTCTGGTTCATCAATGGGTTCTTCCGTGAGTAAAAGAGAGAACTCAGAGAATACGCACTCAGCAGATGGCATGCAACACCTTTAATAGAAAATCATGTGGAAAAACAAGTTATTCGATTGAAAGTAAGTAAAAGAAATAAACTATTTTATGGAATAACAAATTTATAGAATATGGCAGTGGCCTACTTTGGTTTATTCTTTTTTTTTTTTTTTTTGGCGAGGAGTCAAGAATATTTCTTTCTAGCCTGCCTTGGGTTTCTTTAACAAGTACTTGAACGCAATTGCTATATTTTCACTTTTGGCTGCCTAATAGAATGATTGCACATTACAATAATTATCCAGGAATCAGGATGCTATATAGCTCAGTCAGGTGAACAAATGTTCTCTCTCATTTTAGTTAGCTTAATATATTAAGAAATAGAGAATGTACAAGAAAGAAAAAGGAAGCATTTCCTATGTTCTGTTTGTATGAGTGCTGTGGAAGAGGGAATAGGAGAGAGAGTTGCATCATGTTACACACATAGGCTTCATTTTATCCCAAATACAAGTGAAGGATATTATTCCACTTTATTTATCTTCCAATGTTAGAAGTAGAAGTGCATCTTTCACTTTTACTGATTCTAGGGTCATCCAACACGTAATATAAGATATATAACAACATTCCAAAGTAAAAGAGGACTTCAAGTCCTCAACAACTCATTGCATTTCTTGGTTCTTTCCTCCCTGCTTTCAGTGATATAAAATACGAAAAAATGCAGTCAATCACTCCAAGTTTCAATAAAGTGGTATGAATATTATCATTTACTTGTGCACAACACAAGCAAACAAAACTACAAGTTACCAAAACCCGGTCATCAAATCCACATAAGAAATACCAAATGCTATTGTATAGCTCAACTACCAGTTAAACATGTAGAAATATACAATTTTGCAGATAATAGAACTCGCACACTACCAGTATTATCATTTGTTTTCAATGCTGTTTATCATTGAGCAGGCTCATCCAGCAAGACTTGGTGAATAATTTTTGTTTTTCATCATTTAAAAAACAGTGAGCTATTCCTCAGCTTAAGACAAAATGCAACTTACATATTCCTGTTAAGCAGAGTTCCTATGTAGTTTTAGGGTTTAGCAAAACTAAAGAAAAGGGGAGGGATAGGAGAGGAGGCCAGCATCCTATCCTAAGACTAGTATTGGTGTCAAGGGGTTATCTACTGCTGCCTTATCATAATTTCTATTCTATGCTATATTACATAGAGTCACAAGCAAAACAAATTTGCAAATGATGAATAAATGAGCCTCAAGCAAATATAATTACTGTAACGCAAAATATAATTTCACCATAGAGATTTTGATTTTTTACCTTTTGAGTCCTGAAATATTAATCCATATAAAGCAGTGTAAAATCAAGAAAGAAAAATTGTAGTGCACTTGTAAGTAAACAAGGTAAATTCATTAGGGTAATACCTATTGCAAAGAAGACCGACGACAGTTTTAATGATACCATCAAGCCTCAACTTTTTCCTCTTCCGGGTGACATCTATAGATATCTGAACAGGAGTGCCATTTGGATAGTCCTTCACAGCTTTCGTAACACGCAATCCCATAACAGAAGCCCTAGATTTTGATACATCAGTTGAAAGCTTTCCTAGACCTAATCTCTCCAAGGTAGTGCAATACTCCAGATGTAAAATTGAGGCGTTTCTCTTGTATATAATTGCACCTTCCCAAGGTGACCCAGGATCTTCATCTTCTTCCTCATCATCCCAATCCAAGGACATTGTACTATCATCATAATATGACTCAAAATCACGTCCCTTGCATCTAACAGCATACTTATGAAGAACATTGGGTTCATTTCTAAAGTGGGCCCTTATATGCCTCGTTCCACAACTCAAAAGCGTTTTATGTTGAAAAGGCGAGATGGAATTAGAGGGAAATTTTGGGAGGGAATTTGAATTATTGATCTTGCATTGAGAAAAATGCAAAGGGGCTGCAGAGGATGAGGGGATTACAAGCGACATTTTTGCAGTTGATGTGAAGAACATGCAGTGGATTCTGAAAGAAGGGTGAAAATAATTCAGTGAGAAGTATTACGATACCAAAGAAAAGAAGAAAAAAAGAAGAGAAACGAGGACTTACAGACAGTGACGAGGATGGAAAGAAGGGTGGTTCAGTGGAACTTGAATTGGGCAGAGAGAGAGAGAGAGAGAGAGAAGGAGATAAAATTGTGCCCAAATTTGTCACACAAGTCGCACGATAAACTTAATTTTTATTTGAAATATTAAAATTATATATATATATATATATATATATATTATAATTATCTTTATTTCTCACTTTATTTTTATTATTTTATATTTACATTTTAAGAATACACTGGACAGCATTTATTTATACAGTATCATGTAAAATTCATATTAATTTCCTCGCAGATATTAATAAATAGACCAATTCGCGCATCAATTCGCAGATATTTATTTTACCACTTAATTCCCTTAACTTTAATTAAGGATACATTTGAATGAGATATTCTTTTAAAAATTTTAACTTAAAAATATTATGTTTGATTTGAATATTTTCAAAGTTACATTTTTAATAATATTTTTTAAATTGTAAGGAAATGCATATCAACAATTATAAATGCTAGTATCTATTAATTTATTTTAGCTGTAGTACGTTAACAATCTGTACTTGTGGGGTATTTTAACAAAACTATTTTGAAAAAAATATCATATTTAATATATATATTTTAAAAATTTATACTTATTAGTTAAAATTTATTTTTATTTTGTTTGAACCACTAATTATCTTCCAGAAGCAATTTTTTTTTGGTCAGCAAAATCATTGGTTAAACTACTACCAATTCATGCAAATGCTTAGTAATTATCACTTAAAATTTATTAAAATAAATAAAAATAATTAAATTACAAATAAAAAAATAAAATTCATATAATTTTTAATCTATAATTCTTGTTAAAATGGTATTTCTCTCCCTTGACAAGGGTTGAGGGAGCTGTGTTCTGGAACTACACAAAAATTCTCCACAAACACCTGCAAAAGCCTCATAGCTCGGCTCCGTTACCTCTTTGGATATTAACTGTTTTGAATACTCTTCCAAATTGCAATGATCCATCAAAGTGGCGATGCTACAGTAACGCCTCCGCGTCGCTGGTTTCATCACATATACAGCTCAGAGGCAAGGGCATTTTGGTCCACTGGAAAAACGCCCAACCAGATTGTTGCACTCTCGAGTACGTCCAAATTTCAACTCTGCAAAAGAATGAAAAGCTCTTTCACTTATTATATATATTCAACCTCCCTCGTTTACTGCATCTGCATCAACTTGTTCACATGTTTTATTATTTATGCTCTTTGATCCCTTCTCCTTTCTATCATGGATGCTTCACGGGTTGCACAAAGCCTAGACTCTCTTTGGTTCTACTCTAACGTCTTTACCTTCACGCATCATCAGGTACCCTCTTTGACCGATCAGTTTCCACCCAAGAGAGATTTTCAGATACCCAATTCCCCATTCCTTCTCAATCATCAAGATGAGTCTCAGAATGTGGAGAATTTGACCCCAAGGTGTCACAAATTCGGTGAAATTTCGTCAGCATTGGAAGAAGTGAGACCCATGCCAGGCAACTCGGAAATGCTGAAAGAAACAAAGAAGAGAGGGAGGAGAAAGAGGAGGAAGTGGATCAACAAGTTAAGGGTGGATAATGTGATTCATGGTGTTAAGGAAGTTAGTGAATTTTTGGAGTCTGAGGAGTCATATAAATGTCAGATAATGCTTACCAGTAAGTTGCCTTCTTTTGATGATGATGTGGCAATGAAAGAACATCTCAAGTCATGGGCTCACGCTGTTGCTTGCACTGTCAAATAGAGATAAAAGCAGTTTCTAGTTTAACTTCAGCATTTGCTTTGTTGACAAATTCTCACTCTCACTTGCACTCCCTCGTTAGTGACGGTTTCTGGCTCACTAATTAAAGCTTGCCCTCACTCTTCTCTCTGTTACATACCTGTGGTGCCTCACCTCATCTTTACTGTGTTCTTTTGTTTGTAACGATATGCATGAATTCACCTGTGTCTGTTACTGCTTTAGTTATGCATAGATTGTACAGTGCTTTTTCTGATTTATATGAGCAGATATTTTCTACTCTCTTTTTTCTTTTATTTTTTATCCCCTCTTTCTCTCTACTTCTCTATTTTTTACTGTTACATTATCATTAGTTTTGCATACTTTTCTCTTACAGCCGAGGCTGGTACTCGTGCTTGTGGCTTTATTCATACTTCCTAGTATATTGTTATAAAAAGACAAAAAGATAAACCACAAGGGCCAGAAATGAAATAAATTAAGGTTTTGAATAACCTCTTTAATAAAATTTCTTCCATATGTTTAAAATAATAATTCTCTTTAAAATTTGAGAAAATAAGAATTTATTTGTTTCTGTTTTAATTTTTTAAAAATTATAGTTTAAAACAATTTTTAATTTTTTTTTTAATTTTCTTTTTTACTTTTAGAAAGAAAAAACTGTTTTTAAAAACAAAAAATGAACAATACCATTTAACTAATTTATTTTTTAGAAATTTTATTTTTTATATTAATTTTTTTTATTCAAGGTCGGGCTTTATTTTAAATGAACATTTTTTATTTCGTTTTACTTAATCTTTCAAAAAATTTTATAAAAGTTAACAAAAAATATCATTCAACTAGTTAACAATCTTTAACGAACTTAAATATTTAAATAGGTTAATAAATATTTCACAATTTTAAAAAAATTAATATAGTAGGAATATTATACAAATTTTTACATAGTTAATATTTGTTTATACTTTACAAGTAAATATACATATATATATATATATATATATATAATATGTTAAAAATATTTTTTTATAAAGTGTCATTATAAGGAATTCATTTATTAACAGAATAATTTTTTAATAATTTAATCTATTTAATAACTCTTTCTAGGTGTTATATTTTATTAATTCAACTGTTAAATTAATAATATTATTATTTACTTAAAAAGGTGTCTTGTTTCTTATAAAAATTTAAATAAAAAATTTAATAATTAATTCTAAGAAGTTTCATGGTTCTTAAAATATGTGATAGTAAGCTTTAAAAAAGTAAAAAGTTGAAGGGAAAAAAGTAAAAAATAAGTTATTTTTAGGGTTTTTCATCCTTTGTTTATTTTTCAAATATTTTTAAACTATTAAATAAAGAAAAATAATGTATTTTGAGTTAATTCATTTCTTTAGTTCTTTTTTCTTTATTCTCCTAACTTTTAAAATTTTCGAATTTGGTCTTTAACTTTTAGATATGTTTAAATGGATTTTTTACTAAAAATGATATACTTTGTCCTTTTTTTTTAATTTTTTCCGAACATTGATCATTCATTTCTTTTTTTATTTAGTCAAATCCTCTTGTTTTTCCTTCTTTCTTTTTGTTCCTTCTTTTTGGTTAACCAAAATACCATCGTTCAAATTGAGTAACTTAGAATATAAATAACCATGTTTCTCAACTTACTTGAGCCATCACCACTATTTCTCAACTTACATAATTATAACTACCATTGAACTATCTTTTCGAAAACCAATTTACATCTTCGTAATCAATGATGACGAGTATTAATCACCAAAGAGAGAAACCATTCCCATGCTAATTGAACCTATTGAACCCACCCAACTCCCTTATCATACACATCCACACCATCATCATTGTAGTGAAACCATAACCTTTCCTTCCCTTCCCCTAACATGTTTATTGTAAGAAGTGACAATGGAGAGGATGGTTTAGAAGAAAAAGAAAACAAAAAGATGACATGAACAATATTTGATGCAAAAAGACAAAAAAAATAAGTTAATAGATGTTTCTGAAAAGAAAAATGATATATTTAAACACCTTTAAAAGTTAACTTTTAAAAAATTAGAAAATTGAAGGGAAAAAAATAAATTAAGAGAAAAAATATTTTTATAAAATATTGATGTACATGAGTGTTGATTTTTTTGTCAAGAGTACCAATTGATTGTAAAGTTGTTATATTTTATAAAAATTGACAAATATTATTGTAATTTCTATTATCCTAATTAAAATATTTTTTAAAAAAAATAATTGATATTTTGTATGTATATCCATTAGTTGGTGTTTGAGGAGATACAAAATAATAAATATGATTGAAATAGAAATACATAGATGTTGAAATGAAATGCAATAATTTAAATTTGTGATTGAATTTTATTATTCATCCGTATCTATATTACGATGATTTAATACGTAAAAATAATTTTATAGAAGTAGATGTAATACATCTATATTTCTCATATACAAGGTTCGTATGAGTATTTCTTAAATAATGATTTCTTAATTATTTAAGATTCCTAAAAATATTTAGTAAATAATAATTTCTCAATTATTCAATGAATCTTTAAGCATAAGAAAATAAGTATTAAAGAACAATTGATATATTTAAATTTATTTCTAATATCACAATATACTTATAAATTTCGTTGAATTTGAATTTAAGAAATACTTTCTAATTGAACCTTGGATCGTAAATCAATATATTATCAATTAAAATAGAATCAAACATTATAAATGAAATAAAATCACTAACATCTATAAAAATAACTATATATATATATATATATATATATATATATATATAAAAGAAGAGATTAGCCGCTCATGACAACTATTATAACAAAAGAAAAAAAAAATTAAAAATAGACAAATAATAATTTATTAATATTTCTTCCTGTGTGCAGTGCTTTGGTCTCTCACTCTGTTTTCTCTTCCCAGGCTTCCTCTTTTTTTATGTTTCTTTTTTCTTTAGGGCGCTTTGAAGAATTATTGCTCAAGTAAAAATAACATCGCTTAAGTGATTTCACTCAAGCAAAAACATTTTGCTTGAGTAAAAATCAAGGAGTGGCTAATTTCTATCTCATGCAGTTTCACTTAAGTAACCATTCTTTTGTTTAAGTCAAAAATGAGCAAATTTAGTTCCTCATTTAAGCTCTCTTCTTCCTTATCTTTCTTTTATCTTAATATCTTGTCAACCAAAGAAGAGATTTAACAAGAGGGATTAAGAAAAATCTTTATCTCTTCTTCCTAGTCAAAATAATTGTTTAATTTAATTTCTTCTAAATTAGAAGGAAATTAAAATTTAATTCCTTAAAAATAATAAGTGTCTTAATATATATTAAAATTTTCTAAAACGTAACACTTATCAAATTTGAAGGTTATTTATTGATAATAAAG